CATTCTCTTTGCACAGATGAACCAACGTATTCCATTTACATCCTGATTCTTTTTTCCTTCAAAAATAATAATTAAAAATAATAATTAAATTATTCAGACACAAGGAAACTGATTCATAGGAATGCAGAGCAATTAATGTGGGCAGAAAAAATGATTAGAAATCTTAACTCCTACAGACAGATATTTGTGTTCCTTAAATCTTTTCCAGTTCTTCAGGTATGGCTGAATGCGGGAGACTGTCTTCTTTCTTTATTCAGGGAAACACATCTTGCAGCCTTTAATTTGCAAAGAAATTATTGGGATGTGACAGGTGTTTTTGAAAGAAGCTGCATGCATTTTCAAATCTTAAAACAGGTAGGAAGGCAGGGATGTGTGTGCCAACTTACCTTCTCCACCCCGACTTCTCTGCATTAACAGGAATACTCTGAAACAGAGCAATAATTAAGGGAAGCCAGTTAGTGTGCTACAAATGATCCAGAATTCTATATAGACAATACAAACAACTGCAGTACATCAATGGTTAGCAATCCTTTTGGAGTTTTTGAAGAGTATGTTGTGGGTGTCCTCATGGTATATAGGATCACTTATAGAAGACCTCTTTATGAGAAGTTAAGCTTGTGACGATACTCCCTAAATGGATCTGGTAGTCCACTTTCTCTTTCCTCTTTCAGCTGATGGGGGACAGTTTGCAAGAAAACCCTGCAGCTCCCCTCACCTGTATCTTTATTTATTGACAATTCCATTTCCGTAGCCAGGGTAATCCTAGTAAGAGGGGTCGATCCATCCCAGGTGCAATGATGAAACTTAAGGCTTCTTGGTGATCTCCCATCCACATATCTACTGGTTCAGTCACAAAATGGGCAGGAGCCTCCCCAGCTACTGATCCATCCAACTGGCAAAAGGCAATGGGCACTTTCAAAGTTCTCAGTTTTAAGCCCATTTTTTCCACCACTTGTGGGCTAATTATGCAATGTGTTTATCCAGAGTCTAAAAGGGCCAGCATTTTTGCTTGGGCTCCAATAGAAGGCACTTTAAGTTCTACTGAAATGGTCATGGGGCTCGATTGGGGACTTACCAGTTGGTTGTCATCAGAGTCGGTTTCACTTTCCCCCGAGAGAAAGGAGGGTTCTTCTTCTTCCCCTAGGTTGGGAGGGAATTCTACAAGAGGATCCACCCCTTCCATGCAGTGTCCTTTCATTTCCCAGGTTGTTTGTCTGGCTTCCTTTCCCCAGCGGCAGGGGGATTTGGGCCAATTTTTGACCGACAGTTCGCTGCTCGGTGCCCCTCCTTCCCACAGAAGAAACAAGCAGTAGACCGGAGCTTGCTTGCAGACCAACTTTTCTCTCCCTTCAGAGCTCCTCTGGGGGTGGGTGGGAAGGGGATTTTTACCTTTCTCACTGTCTTCCTGGTATTTATCCCTGGATAGGTCGATCTCCACATCTGTTACCTTGGCTATGGAAATGGAACCCATACGTGAACTGGAGGAAAGGGTGGTTGCACATCAATTCCGCAAAGCCCCCGGAGGGCAAGGGGAGGGACTCCCACATAGCCAATGCTGAACCTAACCTAGTGGCTACAGAGCAGGAGAAAATTAAGGGGGAAGAAAAAATCCCTGAAGAATACTGGGACCTGAAGGATGTTTTCAGTGAAAAAGCTTCCCCCCCCCACGCTACTGATTGCAGGATTGAGATCCTCCTAGGGGTAAAACTCCCCAAACCCCAAATTTATTCAATGTCCCCACGTGAAATGGAGGAATTGCAAAAATGTATTGACAAAAACTTGAAACGGGGGTTCATAGAGCTGGCTAGGCCAAGAGGGGCTGCACCTGTATTGTTTAGAGAAAAGAAAGATGGCTCCTTTNGACCTCCAAGATCTTCTTACCTACACTACCCTTCCCAATTCCATCCAAACTGGGCCATGATCCAAAAGAATTATTTTCAACTTTTCACCAACAATCTCTTTCCTTGCAGTCTAAACAATTCATATTCTTACAAAAATATTATTTTACTCAATTTTTTTTAAATCTGAAAATTACAAATTTGTCTGGTTCCTTTATCCATTTGAAACAAGCTGAATTATTATTTTGCTTTTTGCCATCTATCTATACTGTTAAATTCTTTAAACTAAATTTTTTTCTACTTCAGGATGAAGTTTTACTTACCAAACTTTCTGATATTCAGGCTTGTTGTTTGGAAAAAAAACTCTTTTTGAGTTTAAAATAATAATGCATACAAATGTGATTAGAAAGTGAGGTTAGATGAATTTAGTGTCTTTAAAAGCACTGCTGTGGTTGAGTTTGATGGCTTCTGCTGTCCTGCAATCTCCTTGGGAGAAGCAATTATAGGTGGGTGATCTCTTATCCACTTATTCAGAGAAAATCTATTGGACCAAGCTTGCTGTGTCATTGTCTCTACTCATTTGGAGATGTATGAATCACCATTTTCCTCAACTAGAATTCTCTATATCCCTTATTAAGTCCTCAGTAAACTCAGCGGCCATATGGGATTGGCAACTAGGTAAAAACCTCTATGGTGCCATCTTGTTCAAGACTTAGCCAAGCTCTGTGTTCCATAGCTCATCCAAATGAGTGGTATAATTGCCATCCAAATTGTTGGGAAAATTGCTAAGTCCCTTCTGGAAACCATTTGGATCCATTAAATTAGAGACCAATCTAATCCTTGGAAGCTCCAGGGTTCCTGTGATCTGCTGATATACTGACATCATTCAGCACAAGCTATGATCTCTAATTTAAATAGCACTTTGAAACCATGGGTGGGTTCCTGCCAGTTCTTATCTCTTCTATAGAAGAGGTTCCACAAATCTACAGTGCCGTTTAGAACCGGTTCCAGCTCCCTCCCCCCGCCCATCTGCACACCATCAAGATGAAGAGCGAGAGGAGGAATTCTGGGAGTTGAAGTCCACAAGTCTTAAAGCTGTCAAGTTTTAACATCCCTGGGTTTTTTCCCTAAAGGATTAGGGGTGCACGGGTCTTGTAACTTGGCAGCTTTAAGACTTGTGTGCTTCAATGTAAGAGTTCCTGAGTCAACATGATCGGAGGACAAATTTTGGGAGTTGAAGTTCACAAGTCTTAAAACTGTGAGGTTTGAACACTCCTGGGGTTTTTTTTCTAAATGGTTAGGGGTGTAAGGGTCTTGTAACTTGACAGCTTTAAGACTTCAAATGCCAGAGTTTCTGAGCCAACATTTTGGTTGCTAAGCAAGAGCNTTTAAGAAGATGTTGGATAGCCATTTGTCTGAAACGGTGTAGGGTTTCCTGCCTAGGAAGGGACCTCCAAGGTCCCTTCCAACTCTGCTATTGTATTATTACTTAGGTTGTGCCATTCAGTGTATACTGTTCCTGCTTGCATCTTACACCCTACTTCTATGCATTGATTTGTGTCTCTGCATAGTCTACACCTATGAGCAACTGGTGTTTTGAGGCTCTGATGTTATTCCCAATGCCCTTCTGAGCTATGCTCATGTACTGCCTCATATGTTTCTTTAGCTTGGTTGCTGTAATGCTTGATGGGACTTTCCATCTTGTGGGGAAGCAAGTTGTTGGCTGGTTGAATGGTACTGTTTCTTTGTAAGGCTCGGGACCTGCATCAGGGTTGTGTTTGACCTTGGATGTGGGGGGGGGAGGCATAGCCAGCTCGACATCACCCACTGTGGTGGCCCGGGCAGTGTTGGAGAGATCTGTCTGCAGCCCTCTGCCAGTGAAAACAGAGCTTGGGAGGGCCGCAGGTGGCAGAAGGCTGCAGGAGGCCATTGCAGCTGAAAACGGAGCTTGGGAGGGCAATGCATGGCCCTACAGAATCCGTTTTTGCTGGCAGAGGCACTGCGGGTTGCTCCTTCGCTGTTTCCAGGGCAGCCCCAGATATAAGCACCCCATGGCTGCATTTGCCCATGGGCCTTGAGTTTGATACCCTTGCTCTAGACTTTTGATAGTCAGGCTCTTATATTTCTTTCAGTAGTTGAATTTTATCTTTAATCTTCACACCTTCTGTAATTCCATCAGCTGATTAACTTCTCTCCGAGTTATCTTGATCTTAGCTTTTAACCTCATTTTCCAGGAAGGGAGTGTTTTACAATGTAGCTACAATTGAACCATAATTTTTAAGTGTAATTTGTTGTTTAAAAATTGGGTCATAATGATGAAATAAAATAAAGTTATATAAATTCAGTGTGAATATGTTTTGCTTGATTCTAGTATTGGAAAATACATATCCTTGACAGAAGACAGAGACTATTTTTCTAGGACAATATTAAATAAAGCATCAAATACCGATACAAAGTTAAAAAACAACATACATAAAATGTAGTTTTAAACCTTTTGACAATTACTTAATGCAAAAGCTAACAAATGTAAACATATTTAGAATTGTCCAGTAGAGGGAGCCACTAAACTTTACACAGCCACATTTTTGGGAAATGAACTTTTATTTAGTTGGAGCAGATGACATTTAATCTCAATTGATTTAGTATGCACTGACGGTTTGAATACCAACCGAGTGGGGTGGGGCAGATTTCCCTTCTACGTAAGAGAGAATTTCTATTATTAAAAAAAAATCTGTAACAAAAGATAAATGTTTAAAAGAAAGGTAAGGAGATGCATTATCTTCAAATATGAAAAATTATTCTAACCAAAGCACATAGCACTCTACTTGTAAATTGTATAGATTACAAAGCATTGTACTGACCAATAAAAAATCCACCAAATATTAAAATAGTTTTGAAAATTATTTGGGAGATGTGGTTTAGCTTTTGCACACTACAGTACAATGTCCACAAAATGCCACCAATGGCATTGTACAATGTGCTGTCATGGGCAATTACAGCATTGTTTCTCAACCTTAGCAACTTAAAGATATTTAAATGTCAACTCTCAAATTTTTTCTCTTCTGTTGCAATTCTGGAGAGAACAATGGGAAACATACCTGTTATAAATTAATCTTCTTAATGCAAGACTGTATTGTTGATTAATTTCTCATCTTTTTATAGGCCTCGGAGCCAGTTGACAACTGCACAAGTGAAGGAGAGATCGAAGAAGATCAGAATTCTTCAAACCCAGATACACCAGAGCTGGAGATATGTGGATCAGGCCAGGAAACAGATGAAGACTATTTTGAAACCCAGTCATATCAAAGCGAATCACTGTCAGATATCAAAACAGAGACTTATGAAAGTGTGTCAGACTCGGAGTCCATTGCCAGTGATGTCACTAGAGAACCCAATCTTTCTTCAGAAATAGAAGAATCGTGGCATAAGCATTCCAAAACAAAAGGAGATAGGTCTCCTCCCAAGTGTTTCACAAAAGAATTTGGATTTATTCAGAAGGAAAATGTGGATTTCCCTTCAGCCTTACATGTAGCAACAAGCAAACATGGATTGGAGTTATTAGCATCAGAATCCAAAATTGAAGACGTCAAAGGAAAGGAGCAGGTATTACCTTACAGTATTACCTCCACGGGGTCAAAGGCTAATAAAAATGATTTTGTGTTACGGACCGAAGCTTTGTTAAAAGTGGGGACAAAATCTGCAAACAGAGAGGCACACTTCCATACCCATTCAGAAGATCATATTAAAGGTGCCAGTAGCAAAGAGAGAATGAGTCCAGAAGCAGTAACATTGGTTAATCTCAGAACAAACTCTGAAAGCGCTTTGAATATTTCTGAAACTTGCTGCTCCTGCTCAGAAACAGTTTCCAGAAAGAGTTTGCCTAATATTCATATAGAAACAAATGGAACTTGGAAAAGATATAATGAATCTTCCAAAATGAGGTATAAAAAAGATTGTATATTTAATGCCAAGAATAGTCAAAAGAATACTTTTGACAGTGAAAAAATTGTAGAAACAAATTTGTATGGCAGAAAGCAGAAACTCACAGATTTTAAATCTATATTTTTGGTGCCTTCCACAAAGCCAGGAAATTTAGCAATGAAATCATGGCATAGTTCTCCTGGAAATATAAATGGTCAAGATATCAGAGAACATATTGAAGATTGCCTTTGTCTAGCAGATAAATTAAGCCAATCGTTTTCCACATTGCCCCTAAAAGAATCAGATCATGTTCATGTTAAGGAAAACATAGATTGTTCAAAAACATCCTTAAAAGCGGCAAAGGACACAAATATTAAAGAGTTATTTCTTACTCCTCACTTGATTTCAAATAAAAATGTACAGAAGCAGACAGAAAACTCCCATGGGACCAACAAATCCCAGCTTTGTGGCCTTACAACAAAAGGAACAGAAACATCTGAATGTCAGTTGTTGGTATTGTCCCAGCTGCCAAATTCCTCAGAAAACAATTCTAAAAAGAAGAAATTTTCAAATATGAGATGTATATCAACACATGTAACTGCCAATGTAGAGTTAAAAAAACACCTGAAATCAAAAAATCAGCTAGAAATTAAAGGGTTGTCTCCAAATCACATTGGTTCTGAATCACACATCTGTGATGTTCATGTCTCAGAAAGATACATAGATAAATGCACTGTGGCAAATAAATATAATACTTGTGATGTTCATGCTTCCATGATTAATGCAGATGTGAACAAGGAAAGCAAATGCATCAAAACTCAAAACCTTGAGGCTGTTTTCAGAGCATCTGAAGTGAGAAGTAAATATGGGCCAAATATAGGCCATGAAAAGGCAGTTGAGATTCTGACATCAAATGGAAAAGATTTTAGAGAACAAGAACCCAGTACACCCAATATATTAAGATATCCTTTGAATCATCACAATGATATAGAAAAGGCTTGCAATTGCAGTAATTGTGAAGATGTTGATGTCCCTGCTTTTAAAGTAGCACTAATACCACATTATATGTGCCAGAAGGAAAAATCAGATAATATTTCTGAGTTAAAAGCTTTATTGATGGAAAGCCCTGGTCAAGAACCATTGCAAACAAATGTTGAAGTTGAGAACTCTTTGCCTAAATTTACTGAGATACTAGAGCATGAGAATTCAAACTCTCATCTCATCACCATCATGGATGCTACAAAATCAGAAGAATCTCCAAACAGAAAGTCCAGTTGTACCAATGACATGTTTTCTGTGCAGGTGTTGCCATACAATGAAGATGAATTCCAAGTTAAGATGGCTCCTGAGAAAAGTTCAGGAAACACACATTGTGAAACAGATGCAAACATGCTGGACTCACTGTCTTTGCCAGGCTCTGCAAAATCTACGGAAGCTAGTTTGGGGAACAATACATCCACAACTAATTTACTTTTAGAAAGTACTGTGCAAACTTGGAAAGAAGAGGGGTGCCTAGATATTTTGTCCTTGGCTCTGCCTGCAGCAAATAGAGACATATCACTAAGAAAACCATGTCAGTTGAATAGTGATTCTGTGTTAGAGACAGTACAAATAACAAACCATGAATCCCAAACTCGTGGCTATACAGCAATGGATGAATCTATGACTACAAATGCAGAACAGGATGCTTGTGTAAATATTGCAAGAACACAGGAAATAAATAGTAAAAATATATTGTGCCAAGACATTGTTGATGATGATGAGACTCATCTTCAAGGAAATAAAAACAATGCTAAGCAAATTATTGGGGAGAGAGACTCCAAAATCTGTGATGTAATACATGAGGAAATTGCGGTTTCTCTCAAATCAGAATCAGATAAAGTTTTTACAACCGAAAATTTAAAGTGCATTAGTAAAAACTATGACATGGATGTGAATCCAGATATCTGTGACACTTCAGTGAAGACTGACACACAAGATAATAGCACCAGTGGCCTAGATAATATTAGCATGGGAAGTGCAAATAGTGAAGAGATGGACAATAATATAATTAACTTTTTGGGTAGTAACAATAGTTTCTATAAGGCAGTGCAAAGAATCAACAAAGTGGGCGCCATAGAAAAGTCTGTTAAGTATTCTAAATTTTTAGCTTTCCCCAAGATGGCATCCTTCAGGAAATCTAAGTTAACATTTCCTGACAACCAAGATAATGTGAAAACTAAGGAAGTAACATTTGATAGTGATAAAGCAGATGAAGTAGACGAAGTAGAAGATAATTGGAAAGACCTCAATTCATCCAGTTCTACTTTGCAAAACAAGGATCAATGCCTTGTAGAATATTCAGATGACGACGATTTATTCTATGAAAAACCTGTTGGACTTTTCAATAGAATTAGTTTGAGAAAAGCTTCTAGTTCTGGTCGGACAGTCTTAGAAAGCGCAGGCACATATTCTTCTTCTTCCATGTTATCCAGGGTAAAATATGGGGAAGGAACAACTTTAGGATTTGTAGAGAACAACAATAATGAGTTTAATGAGTACCCTGAAGTCCAGAAATCCTCCCCAGAGAATGATTTTAAATGTAACAAAAACATAGATAGCAAAAAATTCCGGAGCCGATTGGCCTTGGCCCATAGATCCTTCTCAAGCTTTTTTGAATCAAAAACGCTGGAAAAAGAAAATGCTCAACAGAGTCCAAAAATTTCATTAAAGAATGAAAAAGTGAAAGTGCACCAATCTTGGAAAGTTTTTCTAAAAAACAAGGAGGCAGATAGCCTGAAGCAAAACCCCTGTTCAAATAGGAGCTCTGGAAACTTTAGTAGAAAATCATTGAAGGAAAAAAAGGAGTATCAAAATGGACAAGAATTTTTTAAATACAGTGTTTCTAATGGCTCATCTACAGGAGGTGGGCATTCCTATTCCTTTGGGCCTGCTGACTTTCTACCTATAGACACCAGGAGGAAGAGGAAAGAGTCATCCTATAGCCCAGATTGTAGTGGAAAGGAAAAAATGGTGGGGAATGACGGGAATACCTCCTATGAAGAATTCTGGCTGAAATCTCCAATTACTCCAATTGATCTGCAGTCATCATTTTCCCATTTCACTCCTTCTTGCCCCCAGTTGTCAATGTATGAACGTAAAGACATGCCATGCAGACCTATGAGTCCCAAGCCACAAAGTCCTCGAACTGCTCATCAGCGGATGGGCTTCCATTATCCTGGTAAATTAAGTTCAACTTCACTGATATCTCTTGGAAATATCTCTATTATCGATGGCGGTTTGGAAGCACCTGAGAGGCCAAAGACATTGAAACCCAGATCTAGTTTCTTGCAGTCCATGCATTCATTAGATAATGACTATTTTAGAGAAGACAGTGGGATAAGCAGCCAGTCACAGATCAGCTTAAACACGACTGCTTCAATGAGTGATATAATCAGAGATGAGGTGAGTTGCTCTGCAGGAGATTCTGTGTATTGGCACTGAGTATATGGAGAAGGATTAAAAATATTTTTTGTTGTGTATCTTATGTAGAATTCTGGGTTAGTCTGGATGTCATGCTCAATGTTACAAATTTCACGTTTTGAAATAACTTTAGAAACCTCTTTACAAAGACATAGGGCATCATAGCTATTCATTTGTGTAAATTCTTCAGAGAATTTGGAAATAAGATGAGATAATAATTTAAGATTCTCGTTATAAGACTGTTTATAAAAATATTTAGAGCTAACTACTTCATTTCCATGTTTCATAAGTATGTGAGGATACGGAATTGTAGTCATAGATTTGCTTTCAGAAGTGACCTTTGAAAAATAGTGCTGAAAGAGTGCTTTTCATTTCTAGACAAATGCTGGTTTTTCATTTTAAATACCTATTCAATGATAGTAATTTCCTCTGTTACTGTCTTTTAATGAGGGGGTTAGGTTTTTTTAAAACTTTCAGTAAAGATGTAATATACGAGGCCACATTATCTGTGCAATTATGCTGCAACCATGCATTCAAATCAGGAGGTGCTTTGCAGGATCTAGAGAAGGTTCATGTTACATGCTCTCCTATAGAGAAGCCAAAGGGATGGTCAAACATTAAACTACTGTCCATTAGTTCTTCAGAGGCAGAAAGGTATGCTGGCATAAATGGTTCTGTCCTGATGGCTGAATCTTATTCTGCCAATGTAATAAGAATAGTGCCTGGTATAGTTCTTTCTGTTTAAATGTAGGAGAAGTTAAGAAAGCACTTGGTGGCTTTCTCTGACTTTACAACCCCTTCTACCAAGCAGGAAAGTAGCCTCCAATCATTTCCCCCCGATATATGCTGCAGCAAATCTCACTGCAGGGTAAGGAAGTTTATGGTGTGTTTAGCCAGCTGTCAAGGTGCCTGCCTAACAGGTTATGATGTATCAATTAGGCTACAAGCACAAGGGAGACTGCAGGTTGAAATTGGAGTGAATTGATAGGAAAAAGATCTATCTTAAACTAATGCTGCTAGGGAATGGTCACCTCTGTCCTCATGGTCAACAAACTTAGAAGTACCCCATAAATTATATCCCAGAACAGAATAGGCAAAATGGTTCTTCCGGAAAGTAAAAAAAATAATCAGGAAAAATATGGCCCATCCTTTATTAGCAGAAGCAGTTAGAAAAACTAACCTTCTGTGTAGCACAGGAATAGAATCCATCAGAAATGATAATCCAGTATTTAAACACAAGTCTAGTATTCTTCCAAAACAGTGCTAAATCCATAGCTATACGGACCCTGCATAAGGCTCTGAAAATTGATGCACGGGCATTTTGCAGGCAGATGTGCCTGCAGAAGCCAGATGTCAGGCCTTTCAGCAACAAGAGCCCCAATGGCCTCTGGAAAGCAATGACCAGAGAAGGGAGGACCGTGTCTGTAGCAGTTTTAAGTGGCCATATGGATTTCTATATAGTGCAGACTGGTGTATATAGATAGTTATATACATCTATATAATAATCACATAGTAATTTGTTGAACTCCTTTTTGTAGAAGTTACATCTGTAAATCTAACTTCTGGCTGAAATAATAGAAGGGGAAAAGGGACCCAGTTCTTAGGGGAAGGCGGCATTCCAAAATTAGAGAGGCATCTAAGTGTACAAAGCAAGTTTAGATAGATGGACAAAAATCTTGTTATCACTAGGGAAGAACTATCCCAGCTAAATATAACTTTATTGTGCCCTCTGGAGGCAAGGTTTTATATTGCAGGGTGTTCCTTATTATAGGCCCAACAACAGTTATCATACATAGAGAATTCAAAGGATGCTTAAGAAAATAACTAATTGAACTTTGCTAATTGTATATTCTTAGCCAGAGCTTCAGCTTTAAGGAATTCTTGGTCAAAAGTCTTCTGATACTTGTCCTTCTAGATTGGTTGGCTTACTTTATTAACAGTTAAAACAACTGTTTAGAGTTTTCTATGTAATTCTATGAGTAAGGCACATGGGTGGGGCATTTCAACTGGGACTGCTCTGAACCGGGGATTTTTATCCCTGATTCAGAGAGCCATGGCCTATCCTCACTACTGGTTTGGGCGAACTGGGGCAAACCGGGAGGATTTCACCCCTGGACTGCACTATAAACAGAATATGTCAAGTGAGTCCTGCCACATGCTGCCTGGAACAACTATTCAAGGGTATTTACACTATGCTGAAGTATTTTTTCTCAGTGCTTATATGAGCATGTATCCAGGCTTTACATGAAGTTCATACAGGTGAGTGCAAATTTAGGTTTCATTTAGATTGCAGCATCCATGCTGAATCAATAAAGACTTTATTTGTAAGACATGTTGTGTGATGTTACTTTAAAAGGGGACAAATGTAATAAGATGTTTCCAGATTTATGATGACTGCTTGCAGTGAGCAGCCCAAAAATGGTCAACAAAGAGAACATGTTTTAAAGATATTTTCACCTGTTATTTGTAAACTAGGAACATTCCCAACAAAGTGAAATTTCAGCAGAAGAGAGGTCAGGTGAAAAGCATGGTCTTCCTTACCGAAAAAAGTCTATTCAGATGCCAGGGTCTTTGGATTCAAATGTAGAAGACAAGGCCTGGATCCTTCCCTTCTATATCCAGAAGGGAAAGATAAAAAAGCATGTCCAGCAGAAGAGACACAAATCCCTATACAAATGTTTCAGCTTTGATGATACATGGATGGAGAGAAATCGAAAAAGAACCTTTGTGAGAGAGGACCAATCAGACAGAGAGAACGAATCAAGTAACTTCTCAGAAGATCAACTCAATGTAAGGAACCAAAGATAATTTGTCTGTTCTCTCTGTTTGCATCTCGTTCTTCCCTTTCAATGATTCTGTTAACGAGTTCTTCTGCTTCTTTTGTTTCTAACACAACATGGCAATTTTGTGTTCACTTTTGTGAAACTACAGTAACCATAAAAGAAGAGGATTATCCTGACAGATGGGTCTTCTTTATTGCCTCTCTTGTCTCATCTAGGATGCATGATGTAATATATACATATCGATGATGAATGGATTGAAAAGTATTTCTATTTTAGAATATAATTTATATTTTAGAATGCAAATGACATAAATGCAACTTTATTAGAAGCAGTATTAAATATTAAACAACTGCATGCCGAACACCAAGGACCACATAGTATTACGGCAATTCATTCTCTCCCACCCCTCGTTATCACAAATGTATAATTTTAAGAGCCTTCTTTTCCTTTTAAAGTTCTTCATAATGACTTATCTGACATTTCTGATATCTACAAAGCTCTTTTCCCTCAGAGAATACTCCCTGCTCGCCTTTAGCATTCTCATTTGCTGTCTTTTATCCAGATTGTTTGATTGAAGACAACCCTTTTTTAAAAAAGTAATCTTTCTGGCGTTCAGGCTAGCCGTTTTTCTAAAGATGTTACTACTTTTTTTCTGTAGGTTAAAACAAAATCGGTTACTTCTCCAGTGGCCACTGATGCCCTTCCTCTCAAGTTGCACCTCTATTCCCAGAGCACCCCTACAGGACTAGACTGCATGGGCTTGAGGCAAAGCATCTCCTTTCCTGGTATGGCCACCTTTATTATTTGATATCTAATAATTTACACTATAATTTGGTTGATTTTGAATTGGTTTGGTTATATTATTTGCATCAATTAGCTTTGATGGAAATGGGTATTCAGCAATACTATCTTTATTTTCTTCAGTGCCTCTTTTGTATATATTTATATGCATTGATCTACCTCAGGAGAGATCTTATAATGGCATGACCAACTAGTTTATTTTAAGAGACACCACTAGTTTATTCAATTTGTATTAGTTTATTCAATTTGTATGCCACCCTATTCCCGAGAGACTCAGTATTAAGCTCATTAGTGTTGGCACAACATAAAATGGAAGGACTATAGATGGCAATGGCTAAAGTGATGACTTAATATAGAGTTTGACAGAATCCCTTCTGAAGGCTTTATATTTGAAAGAAGGGTATAGTATTGGCTTCAAAAGAATCATGCCGAGTTGTTGCTCCATTTTCTTTTCAAGGAATCTTTCTTGACAACTGTTTTCTAATGTCTTCTATTTTACATGTAAGTGTAATCCTATTGCTTTATAAGTTAAGAATAATGTTTGCAAAATGACTCCTTTTAATTTAAATGTAGTTATGATTTTTGTACTCTGAGACTTCAGTGCTTACTGAAAATTAGAATGCAGGAAAATCTTCAGTAGAGGATAATAATAAGCAGGTTTAAATGAAAGCTTAGAAATCCACTTTTTAATTCTCCAGCACAGACATGGATCACAAAGATATCTAAGCGGTTCAAAGGTACCACTTGGACATCTGTCGTAAAGTATAACTGCTGGTTATATTGTCAGATTGCTTAATCAGTGACATTGCTGATGAACTACTTCTAGCTTGCTTGCTCTTTAAATATGATTGTATTTATTATTTAAAGTTCTTAAAAACATGTAGGGAATTAACGTGGCTGCTGAAGTTATCGTTCTTTCTCTTGTTTTTCCCCCAGATGCTTTAATTACAATTCTCTCAAAGTTCTGTTACCATTTGTATGAGGTTAATTATAGTTTAAACAAAAAACAATAGAAAAATGTTTAATACGACAATAAGATTTGCCAACTAGAAATGCCCCACGTTTAACAAAGCTTTAGATATTTTTCCTGGAAAGGAAACCACATAGTATTTATGGAAGAAAAGTACATATCAAACTGCATGATAGCTGCTATTCTTATGAATGGCTACCAACACTTGTTTTGCATGCAGCAGTTTTGTTGAAACCATGATGCCATTTCACTCCCTGGAACTCAGCTTATATATGTATATGTATATGTATATGTATATGTATATGTATATGTATATGTATATGTATATGTATATGTATATGTATATGTATATGTATATGTA